TTCGGTATGATACGGATTTGGGCTTGTGTGTGTTTGAGTGCGTGTTCGGACGTGTTTGTAAGTGTTCGGATGTGTTTTTGCGTGTTCGGATGTGTTTTTGCGTGTTTGGATGTGTTTGTGCGGATTCGGGGGGTGTTTGTGCGTGTTCGGATGTGTTTGTGCGTGTTCGGACGTGTTTGTGCGTGTTCGGATGTGTTTGTGTGTGTTTCGGATGTGTTTTTTGTGTGTTCAGTTGTGTTTGTGCGTGTTCGGAATGTGTTTGTGTGTGTTTGGATGTGTTTGAGTGCGTGTTCGACGTGGTTTGTGCGTGTTCGGATGTGTTTGGATGTGTTTTGTGCGGTGTTTGGATGTGTTTGTGCATGTTTCGGATGTGTTTTTGTGCGTGTTCGGAGGTGTTTTTGCGTGTTGACGTGTTATTGACGTGTTCGGACGTGTTTTGTGGCGTGTTCGGACGTGTTTGTGCGTGTTCGGACGCGTTTATGTGTGTTCGGATGTGTTTTTGCGTGTTTGGATGTGTTTGGATGGTGTTTGTGTGTGTTCGGTGTGTTTGTTGTGTGTTTGGATGTGTTTTTTGCGTTGTTTCGTATGCTGTTTGTGCGTGTTCGGATGTGTTTGCGTGGTGTTCGGATGTGTTTGTGTGTTTGTTATGTGTTTTGCGTGCTCACGGATGTGTTTTTTTGCATGTACGACTGATGTGTTTGTGTTGGTGTGGGATTTGTCTTTGCTGCCGTGTTCGGGATGTGTTTGTTGCGTTTGTTCGATGTGTTTTTCGTGTTCGGTATGTGTTTTATTTATGCATGTAGCGGATGTGTTTGTGTGTGTTTTCGGCATAGTGTCGTTTGTTGTGTTTGCGTATATGTGTTTGCGTAGTTCGGCGATGTGTTTGTGCGTGGTTTCGGGATGTGTTTGTCGAGCGTGTCTCGGCATGTGGTTTTTGCGTGTTTTCGGATCTATGTGTTTTTGGCATGTACGGAATGTGTTTGTGTGTGTTCCTGGAAATGTGTTCCTGTGCGTGGTTTCGCATGTGTTTGCTGTGTCGCTTTTTTGGATGTGTCTTGGTGACTGTGTTCGGATTGTGTTTGTGTGTGTTTGGCCATGTGTTTTTGCGTGTTCGGTTGTTTTTGAAATTTGTTGTTTGGTGTTTGTTTTCATTTGACATTGTGTTGATGNACACAATCACCCCGCTCTTGGGAAAAATATACTTTGTGCGCTCCCACCGCGAGTGATTCCGCCATGCTTTATCCTTTTCACTCTTCCGCTGCAAGTCGGAACTGTCCTCTCCTGTTCAAAAAATAAAGTGTTGTTCTCACGCAGAACGAATAAAAAAACACGAACAGTTCACACGTCTAACATAGCTTTGAACAAGCAAAAAACGAAGACTATTTTCTCTAATTCGCATTTTTTCTCTCTCTCTTTCCAAAGATTTTCCGCCGAATCACTTTGACCAAAAAATTCATAACACTTGGCATCGAAATCTCCGCGTGTCTTCGGGAACAGTTAAGGCGTCAGTTCATGTGTTCAGGAGACGCCTTTATCCCCGGGAAAATCGCGGAGATAAAAAAGGAAAAAAATAAAGACATCAACACTGCCTGTCTTCAGTCTCTCTGCGAAGAGGATTAAGCCATGTGTACGTTTCGTTGGGTGTACATGTACTTTGTACAGGTGTCTGTCCTTCAGTGTGCACCTTGCAGCCATCGCGGGGCTGGCCACGCACGGCTAATATGAGGACACTATTACAAACAACGCACGCTAACACTGCGCCACGTCGTCACTCGTGCACGCCACTTGCAGCCAACGTCTGTCCTCGATAACAAACTTATTTGATGTGCACGAGTGAGTGCGTGTACGTGAATGTGCCACCACATACACTGGCAGGATCGTTCACTGTGGGAGCTTGGTGAAGACTGCCGCCTCCCGCCACACTAACATAGCCCGCGGCCACGGACACTCCCCCTATCCTCCCCGGCCCCCCTCCCCCTCCCCGCGTCCCGGGTAGACCCACCTCCCACTCTACCCAAACATTCCTCCTCCAAGCCCGACAGCCCCGCGTCCCCCGCCCGCACGCCCTCCCGCCCTCCTCCAGGACCCAGCAGCAGCCGCACAAGACAAAGGGCGCAAGAAGGACCGAGCAGAGCGAGGGAGTCGGCCGTGGATTCGCATGTAGGAGTGCGGGGCGTAGTGGATGTGCCCGGGCGCGGAGGTATGCGGGGCCGCGGGCGGCGGGCGAGCCTCACCTCCACCCACCGCTGCCTGGCGCACGACCACGCATCTACCTCCCTCCACCTGTAGCCGTTCCTCATGGCCGATCCCTTCCCGCGAGGACACGGCCGCAGCCTCCGTGTCCCAGAGGCAGCGAAGGGCCCGGCGGGAGGGAGGCCAGGCCACGAAGGAGGGCCGGCGAGGGCGAGGCAAGAGCGGGGGTCAAGCGGCCACAGTTGGCGTCTGTGCGTACGCGGAGACGACCCAACCATTCTTACCGCTACCTGCCCGTCGTGACGCATGCCCGACACTCCCACCAAACACACCAGGTGACGCTACAGCTTCCCTCTCTGTAGGGCTACTACCTGTCCCTCGCGCTCGCACTCTCCAACACACACGCACATACGCACAAACAAAATAAACAGTGCACAGACAAATTAAAAAAACAGCTTCAAGTCTCATAAAACAGTACTGGGCAAATGAACCTACGGCCCAAACCATTAACCTATAAACAAAATATAGCCCACATAAACGATGTTGTTTTCGTATATCCTCAGAGAAAATATACACCCCCCCTCCCACACACACACACACACACACACACACACACAAACACCCCCGTTCAAGAAATTCACACGACACCTAAAGAAGACCTAAAAAAAGGAAGAGAACAACAAGAGGAGGAGAGCGACCAAGGAGAAAAGGAAAAGGCGGAATAAAAAGGGCCCCTCCCGACATGGCATGAGGTGGGGAGTGGACACAGGTGAGCGACGCGACGGGGCAGAGCGAGTACGGACCGGGGCACGCCACTTCCACCCTTACGTGCCCACCGACGCCACCCGACCGCGGCGGCCAACATACGCCCCGCTCAGCCGCTACGCCGAAAGGAGGACAGCAGCAGCAGCAGCGACGCCGACACCGACCGCCACTCGGGCAATGTCTGCGACGATTTTTTTGCAGACGAGAATGGCAGATCGTTACCTGTGACTCTCATGGTCGGTTTACTTTCATCCATCCCTGGAATCCCGATCCTTACACACATTTCTCACTTCTCAAGCCATCCATCTTCCTCCCCCCCTCCCCGCCCCCTCCTCCTTCNTGCGTGTTCGAATGTGTTTGTGAGGTATCGGGGGATGTTTGGTGCGTGTTTGGATGTGTTTTTTGAAGTAGTTGGATGTGTTTGTGCGATCCGGGGGTGATTTTGTAGTGTGTTCGGACGTGTTTAGATGTGTGTTTGAATGTTATTTAGCTGTTCCGGATGTGTTGTGCGTGTTCGAAAACTTGTTTGTGTGTGGTTTGGAAATGTGTTTATTGCGTTTCGGACGTGTTTGTGAACGTGTACCGGATGTGTTGTGTGTTTCGGACGTTTGGATGTGGTTTTTTGCGTGTTCGGGAGTGTTGTGCGTGGTTCGGACGTGTTTGTGTGTGTTTGGATGTGTTTTTGCGTGTTCGGACGTGTTTGTGCGTGTTCGGATGTGTTTGTGTGTGTTCGGACGTGTTTGTGCGTGTTCGGATGTGTTTGTGCGTGGAATGTGTTTGTGTGTGTTCGGACGTTGTTTGTGCGTGTTCGGATGTGTTTGTGCGTGTTCGGGGTGTTTGTGCGTGTCGGATGTGTTTGTGTGTGTTCGAACAGTGTTTGGCTTGATGTTTGTATCGGAATGTGTTTTTGCGGATTCGGGGGTGTTTGTGTGTGTTCGGACGTGTTTGTGCGTGTTCGGATGTGTTTGTGCGTGTTCGGATGTGTTTGTAGTGTGTTCGGAACGTGTTTTGTGCGTGTTCGGATGTGTTGTGCGTGTTTCGTGAGGTGTTATGTGCGTGTTCGGATACGTTTTGTGTGTGTTCGGACGTGTTTTGCGTGTTCGGATGTTTTGTGCGTGTTCGGATGTGTTTTTGGAATTGTGTTATGTGTTTCGCAGTGTTTGTGCGTGTTCGGATGTGTTTGTCGAGATGTGTTTGTGCGTGTTCGGATGTGTTTGTGCGTGTTCGGATGTGTTTGTGCGTGTTTGGATGTGTTTGTGCGGGTTCGGATGTGTTTGTGTGTGTTCGGATGTGTTTTTGCGTGTTCCGACGTGTTTGTGCGTCTGTGAGGTATTGTTGTGTTAGTGGATTTACATGTTTTTGTATTTTTGTTCGTCTGCTTAGATATGGATTTTTCGTTGATTGTCTTTTTCGTAGACTAAGTCAGTGTTATACCTTCTGAACAGTTTGCTAAATAATCGTTATGTGTAATGATAGTTCGATACAACCAGCAATTATCCTCTTATCGAATAATCGTCGTTGTCTACTTCTCTTTCACATTTTTCTTTCTCCTTTTGTCCTTTTCTCTTCCCTTCCTTTCGACCAACTTTACTCTGAGTGTTAGAGTATGGGTTGTATCAAGTTTATGAAGGATCCAGGCAATCTCTCTCATCTCTCTCTCTCTCTCTCTCTCTCTCTCTCTCTCTCTCTCTCTCTCTCTCTCTCTCTCTCTCTCTCTCTCTCTCTCTCTCTATCTCTCCCTCCCTCCCTCTCACTTCTCTCTCCCCTCACCCTCTTTCTCCCTTTCCCTCTCCTCTCCCTCTCTATCTCTCTCTCCTCTCTCCTCTCCTCCCCCCCCCTCTTCTCTCTCTCCTTTTCTCTTTCCCGCTGTCTCTCCCCTCCTCCATCACCCTCCCCTCCCTTTCCCTCTCTCCATCACGCAGGCCAAGCTCTGGCTATAGGCACTCCGTCCCATCAGATTGGAGGCGGTTAGGGGGTAGGGGGGGTATTCCATACGTGGATCCCCACACCCCTCCCCCCCTACAGTGCCACCCTCCAGCGCC